CCAGCCACACCGGCCCAGCCACCGAGGTGGCTCCACATCATGCCCGCGGCGAGGCGGCCCACGGCGTCGGTCGGTCCGTCACCCAGCGCCGTCCCCTAGGTGCTGCCGGCTGGAAACAGGAGCGGCGCCGAGCGTTCCGCCCGGCTCGCTCGGCTCCGGCTGGGAGCGAGGTAGGGGAGCGGCGCGGCCCGGCTTGGAGCCAAAAACGTGCCAAATCGCAGCCAGTTTCTTACAGATTTTCACTCGGAGTGTTCGGAGTGGCAGGCACATAAACCAAGTCTTGGTGTGGCCCTTGGGAAGCGTTTAATGGTTGGAGACACCTAAAAGCTTTGGGGAACATGCAGCACTCATCCCTGAGCAAGAGCAGATACATGCCAAGGTTTCTGTTGGGGCCGCAAAGCACTAAGGATTTAACGATTTTGTGGAAAGGAAAAAAAAAAGATTCGTGTTTATTATGCTCACATCAGATGACTCTCATTATTTTATAATTGAATACTCATTAAATTGGCTCTGCATTAGGGACACCAGTCCTGCCCCAGTGTAAGGATGGCTCACCCATGCCATTTTCCTAAGAGTGAAGTATGTAATTCTTGATATTTAAGAAATAGATTTAATAGATTCAACAGATTTAAGCTCCCAAAAGAGTCTTTTTTTCAGACTTGTGTCAGCAGCACAGATGAGGATGAAACAGGTAACAGCATCCAGAACTGAGCTGCCATGGCATCTAGAGACCAAAGTTACCTCTCGAAGGACAATCTTTTATCTCAGAGCATAAGTTGCTTGAAGAAATTTAGAAGTAGACTGCTTCACAGCCAGTTGATTCAAGTGTCTCTCACCTCTCTCCAAAGCCTGTGGTACTGAAAACATGAAACATAAAACACTGGGCCACAGGTTTCAACCTGGTGTGTGGCTGGTTTCATAGCCGTGTTTCAGCACCCACCTCCTGTTCACTGTCTCCCTTCTTGCTGTTTTCAGGAGCTCAGAGGTGCCCGAGGAATGCGGAGCCTCTCTCTACATGCAGCACAGTTGCCACACTTTTTCCCCTGTGCTTTCCTTCCAGCTGGGTGGCAGACCTCAACCACAGCTCAGAGATGTCATGTAGGCAGCACAAGCCAGCCAGGAAAGGGAGAACGGAGACAACCATCTTTTTCTGGACAAAATCTGTCTACAACTAAAGAATAACTGGGCTTACAAATATGAAAGTGATGAAATCTGCTGGATTTCCAGTCTCTGTTCCAGGATATGCCCATGATGGCTTTGGGGTGTCCAGCCGGGGGACAGACACATACAGTGGATCTTCCTTGAGGCCTTTGGCTGTTGCTGAGGAAAACAGCTTCCTGCTGTGAGCTCAAATACTAACGAGAACATTGATCTAGCTGAAAAGGATCAGAGGAACTTCAGATGTACCAGAAATGGAAATAAAATATTTGGTCTGGCTCAAATCAGTCTGAAACCAAACTGAAAACAAAAATGCAATGAACTAGGAACTGCTGCTGTTGGCCAGTTTCCTCAAACTCTGTCTGACTTTTGGCAATATTCACTCATCCGTGCTCTTATTCCTCCAAGGTTTTTTTTCATATTGCATGCAATAGCAATTTCCAAGTGACTTTTTTACCTTTGATATACCAATGCTTCATATTTCCCCCAGACAGATCTTTCAATCTAGGTAACTTCACTAACAAATTACTTTTACTCCTAAAAAATCCACTCTTGTGCATCACAGCCCTCCTTCCCTGTGAGCCGGGGCAGCCTGGTAGCATCACATTGCCCTGCCTGAGGTAATGTACCAAGACAATTCCCAGAGTTTGGTTGATCTTCTGTAACTAACTCTCCATAACTCCACTGCATGCCAGAACCATTAGTCATTTAAAAAAATGGATAGAAGTCTTACACCAATGTCCAAGAAACATACCATTTTCAGCTCCTGTGTGTTGGTCTCTTGAGTTGCTGTTTTTGTGCAAGATTTTAAGGGTAAGTATTTGCAGCTGGCAAATAGGCAGAAAAAGCTCATGATGCACCGCAACTCCATAGCAACTGGTAGTTATCAAGAATATTATGTAAACTAAGAAAAATTATTTATTGTATAGTCACAGTATAGAAAACAGAAGCTGGAAGTACAATTCTTACACTGCAAAGAAACATTCCTCCAAAGACCTATTTCTGCACATGGTTTACTCCACTGTGAATCAGACCATATCAAGCCAATCCTGAACACAGCTGAACACCTCTAAAGTATTCACTCCTGTTGGAATCAGTAATCACAGTAATGTCTGCGTCACCAAATCTGCTCCAAATTATTGTGGTGGTCTTCAGCTGCCTTTTCACTCTCCTGCATCAGAGAAGTTTCCCTTCACAGCTTTTCAGCTCCCAGAGGTTACCCAAAACACTCCGCTCAATAGGGGCTGTGCCCCTCCCGTCACACAGTGGGGCATCATGTCTCAAAGCCAGGCACCCATACCCCAAGCCAGATCCCTTCAGTCCCAGAAAGCCCTTCCACGTTCCTGCAAAGCCTTTGCAAGCCAAGCTCTCTGCACATGTCCCATTTCTGTCCTGCCTAAATCCTTTGAGGGGAAGCTTGAAAGTATGGTTTGGCTTAGCAGACACGGGTGCAGGCAGCAGAAACAGCCATGTGGTGGCAATATGCTCATTGTAGTGCTGCATTTCATGGCGATGAAATCTCCCAGGCAGTATTTCAAGTACTCTCACCATCTCCACCTTTTGTACAGAGTCCAAACAAGAGCAGACCAGGCCTGGTGGTCTCCCCAAGCAATGTGGTACTGAGCAAGCATCCTGAAATACTCAAGGCCTGTTGTTTTGGTTGCAAACGGCAACAGCAGGCAGCACACGATTTAATCACAGAATCACAGAACGTTAGGGATTGGAAGGGACCTCAAAAGATCATCTAGTCCAATCCCCCTGCCGGAGCAGGAACACCTAGATGAGGTTGCACAGGAAGGCGTCCAGGCGGGTTTTGAATGTCTCCAGAGAAGGAGACTCCACAACCTCTCTGGGCAGCCTGGTCCAGTGCTCTGTCACCCTCACTGAGAAGAAGTTTC